TTCCATTTTTACTCTCATTGCCACGCTGATAAGGAGTTCACCTGGGCTAGAACAAAATGGCATGTCAGCTGGATGATCTGACTAACTCTATGCTTAAATATGAGCTTAGCTATTCCATTAAGTGCTTTTCTTATAAAATTGGCTTTCATAAAATTGGCATAGATAGATGTGTTTATCTAATTTCTTTTTAAAGCTTTTCATTGGCTGAGAAATATTTTTTTGTTTTAATGCTGAGCCAATTTTAAATATTTTGATCTGGAAAGGATTCCTTTGAGTTTGTTTTTTTTTGCTTTAAATTTCCAAAATGCAACATTCGAAATTGACCTGACATTGAATAGATTTTTTTTTTTTTTTAGCCAATGAAAAACTTTAAAAAGAAATTAAATAAACACATCTATCTGGGACAATTTTACGGAGGCTGATCTTATAAGAAACACGCTTAACATCATAGAGTGAATATAAAGTTAGCCAGATCATCCAACCAAGTGATTGTCTTGTCCAAGCTTGGGGCCTCCCCTTACCACCATGTCAAAATGACACCTAACATCAAAGTAAGCCGCTTTAAATTGCAGATAATTACAGCAAGAAAGAACTTTTTCAATTCAACTTTTATTGTAACCTTCCTCTTTGTATTACTTCCAAATCAACTCAATCTCTTTTGAAAATATATCTAATTTTCAGGACTTATATGTTGAATAAATACAAAAATATATTTTCTTCCTTACACACAAAAGAAAAGGAACATTGACAATCAAACTTTAATACATTTTTCTTTATTACAGCTTTTTAAAATAATCTAAAGAGTATAATGAATGTAAATAAATAAATTTGTTATATGTTGATACAACTTGTTTTCTTCTGTTTTTTTTCTTATTCAACTTCACATATCTAAATGGCTTATTTCTTAAATAAAATTTCCAAATACTTAAAACTTTGTGAAGTTTGTCCACTTAAAACCCTCAGTTCAGTAAAAATTTGGCAACCATCCCACTAAACATTTTCAGCATGTTCCTTCATCCTTTTTATTTATTTATTTTTAATCATGTCACCCCCAACCAAGGCAATAAAGCCACTAAGATACAAGGTTACTGAGAGTGAAAGAAACTGAGAAAATGTTTCCAAGAAGTAAAAAGAACAGAATTCAAGGGGACAGAAGATGATAATGTTGCATTTAAATTTTTCAAGATCATATTTGACAGGAAAGCAAGAAACTGGAAGAGACTTCTATTGATAACAAGTGTAAGAGAAGAAACTATTAGAATAGAACTTATGGATACACTTAGAAATTTCAACAGTCAAATTATGAGACCTAGCTGCCAATCTAGTACTATGTTTAAATTCATGAAATCAGAGTACCAAAGGGAAAAGCAATATTTATTTTGTTTTAATACAAAAATGTGGCACAAGGCCAAAAGGTGAGGGGATAGGTAAAGGCTTGTCTTCATTCTGTCTCCTCTTAAACTTATCTAGCCACAATTACCGACCCAAACATACCACAGTATTCCTTACATCAAAACAACACATTATACTTACCATTCTTACTACAGCCACTATAATATCACAAAGTAGTACATAATACTAGTATATAGTCCTAACTAGTAGTCTCCATATGTACATTTTGTCTGTAGTAGATGGGGAATAAAAATAACAACATCTAAAATGAAACCTCAATGAATATTTACCATATTTTCTGGACTATAACCCACAACTTGTTTTCTTGAAATATGTAGGGTGCAGGTTATATAGCAGTGTGGGTTATAAATGAATCGTGTCTTTGAACCTTGAGTGGCCAGGATTAGGAGAACATAACTTCACAAAAACTGGTTGCCAGCATCGGACCAGTTATGTCCAGATAGTTGAATTTATAAGAGTGCAGGTTGTATACAGGTGCGAACTATAGTGCGGAAAATACGGTTACAGAAAAGGCACAAGTAACTGAAGCAGATATGCCAAGTCAGAACCGATAACATTACAGATTCTATTTTAAATTTTGTCAAGAATCTCTAGACACATAGTGGAAGTGCCAGATCAGATGTGGCAACAATATCCAATACACGAACAAACAGTAGACTTCTAAATGTGTAAAGCAGATTCAGGTGAGAAAAATCGCCTAGCACTACAGAATGAACCAACTTATCTTGGAAGAACTGAATTCAGAGTAATTCCCTGGCTACATTCCAGATCCATCTTTTCAGTGGAAAAAAAATCATTCTTTTTTTCTTTTCTCAGATACTCTGCAGTTCTGAACGTGACAAATGATTTGTTCCATCAATGTCGTGGATGTGTGGGTTGTGTAATAGATAGCGGTTGAGAATGAGAAATTGGGGAGAACCACATTCGATTTCTAGTCCAGTTCGTTACATTCACGTACACGTAAATGTCATTAAGAAAGGTGTGAATCCATCTCCTCTCCCCAACTATGGGTTAAATAGTATAGTACTTGTATCTGAAAAAAAATCATTTTTATTCTCAAAAAATTTTTTTTCTTACAATTCAAAATATATTTCGGTTTTAAATAATCCACAACAGGAGGTTGTTAAGCAGGAAAAAAAAAAGAAAGAAAAAACCCCAAATCACTCATTTTTCAGCAGTGAGCCAGTTCTATAAGAAGAGGTAACTGGTAAAAGCCGTAACTTAAGTATTTGTTGTATTTGAGTACAATATTGGCATATTATGCATAACTCTCGTTGAAAACGCTAGGAAAACACGCTCGGTCCTCCAATAAGTAATATTTTAATTAAACTAGTTTAAAATATTAATTATTTAAAACAATTTTATTTTTAAATAATAAATAAATATTCTTACCGTCATTACAAACTAAAAACATTATTTTTTTATTTTAAATTATTTATGTCCTAAATAAAAGTTTAAATAAATCAAAATATTGCATATTTTATTAATTAAAAAAAAAAAATGAACTATTTCAAATGGAAACATTATTTATTCTATCGATGACATTTTAGTTTTTTCCTACCAAAGACGAAATTATAATTTTTTTTCATACCTGAACTAAATCAAATCTTATTCTTAATGACTTCTTTTCTGGTCACCGTTTTTCAACCTAGGTGCTTCAAGCTTTTGAATTTTAGATTGTCCAAAAAACAAAATAAAAATAATTACTGATAATTTTTAACAGATTTGTTCAATACTTTCTATACTTTTCTTTGTATGAGATTAAGTAGCCGTTCTAATAATTAGAACGGCTACTTGCTGGTGTCAGTATTTTTAGAAAATAAAGAAATATTTACAAATTCTTTTCATTATTACTAATTAACAACATTTTTCTTCATTGGCAAAAATAGGTTCTTATATCATTCAACGATCTTTCGGTTTTTTTAAACTTATGCATTAAAAAAACGTTTACCAAAAAAGGCGCTAGAATTTTTAATCTATGCTCGTTTTTATTTGACGCTTGCTTTAAACATGTTGACCTCCGTTTAAAATGCTAAAACACGTGAATTGCTTTGATGAATAAGAAAGTAGTGTATAAGTTGTCTCCCTTGTTACCAGTTTATTTTGAAATTGGTGATACCTGAAAAATTCCCGGTTGTCTTTACGACAAATAAATTTAGCGAAGTTGGAGTAATTTGAGTCTTTTATTTTTTTCTTTCATTCACCAGAAAATTGAAAGTGGATGTTAACATTATATTCTTGAAATAAAAATAATTCAAATCGCATTTTCTTTGTTAGAATATGAACGTTAAACTAATTTTCACATACAATAAGGAAATGAGTAACGGGAAAATCTTTGTTGAATCCTCAAGCGGCAAGCCACTCTCCCAGAATAGTAGAACAATGATAAAGTTTCCAAATTCCGATTACTCAATCATTTTATTTATTTGTGTGTGAAACTATTTTTGAGGAAGGGCTAACTGAAAAATAGCATTCAATCAATCAGAAGCATAAAATTAGAAAAAAAATGACCTGACTTTTAAGATTTACTCTAAGTAAATAAACACAAGTTTAATTAAATTATGGTGAGATTGAACAAGTATAAATAATTGAACTGATCATTTTTCTGGTTGGGTTTAAGACTTTTTTAGTTTTTACTTTTTACTGACTTAAAATTGCAGAGTGAAAGTTAGGTGGACTGAGCGATGAGTTATTCGACCACTAAGATTGTGACGCTTTTAAAAAGGAAAAAAAACTGTCATTAAAATAATTGCCAGTCTGTAAAGCTTAACGAAAAAAAGAAACGGTTTATTTTTAGATTTTTTCTTTTTACAAAAAAAGAAAAGACGTATTTTGCCAGTCAACATTTTTAAGTAGACTAGTAATAATTTGGCCTTACACCGTGCAAGTCCTGTGATTTGTACTTGTTAACGTTAATGGGGGATTCCCCGCACATGCGCGATGAAGCCAACAGATTGCACCCACCACTGCCTTTCGTTTTTACTATTCGGAACATGACGGCTGCCTAGTTACACCCATTTACTGTTACTGAAAAAGAAAGTTGTCATTGTCCATACTTTAGATCAAACACATCTTATCAGACCTATGGCCGGGTCTGTAGGTAAAAATATAACAAGTGACTCAAACTGAGTGAGAACGTTTATCACCTCTTTTTGCTTTTCACGGTTGTAAAGTTGTTTGACGAAGGCAAGCAAAGATGGCGTGAGGCGGTGTGATGGCTTGGTCTTCATTTCGTACACTGTTGGTATCGTTTATATTTTAGTTTCATCATAAAATCCTGTTTCTCGCAAAGCCTACAAGCAAGTTTTAACAAGCAACTTGCCAATAGTGTTACGTAGGAATTTACTGTAGTAAAATTTAATGTCTTTTATTGTGTTACTTGCTTGTCTCTACTGATGTAGTGTGAACAAAATAAAATATCTTTTGATTCACGAATATTTTTGCCTTTTATCTACGCATACATAACCCTTGGATTATCGATAAGTCTAAAAGTCCGTTATAGAGAACACTTAAGGACATAGATATAACGTTTACGGACACATTTATGTGTCTATACTTTTGACAAGTCTTTTAAAAACTTAAACAAAATGGGAGCTAACGATCAATTAAAAAATTGGTTCACCAGTTCAAAGGTAAGTTAAACAATATTTAATGTTTATTATTATAAATGCCAGTTGTTACCCTTTTTCTATGAAAATAATTGCTATTTTCTTTATTTTAACAATAAATTGTAATGTTTAATTAAAAAAAGACCTTTTGTATCCTTTTTTTTCATACCTTTAGAAAGATGGTTTGCTTGAGGTCATTTTTTTTTCTTTTCTGAAATAAAAATTGCTTTACAATATGTTTTTTTTTTTTTTTAAAAAAAAAAAAATGAAGAAAGAAAAAAAGCCTTTATTTATCTCGTACGGATTTTTAAAAAATGCTTCCGAATGTAGAATTGTTTTTGTTATTTATAATTCAAAATGATGTCATTCCCAACGGAAATTGATCATTTCTTTTTCTCTTAAAACTTAAATAAAATTGCTGTCAAAGTCGAGATATAACTGATTATTTTTTAATTAAGTCTAATTTTTAAACCCGATTTCAGTTTTTTACCTCTTCTTGTTTGTTCTTTGTTTACGATTTCATTCCATTACAGCAGACTTACTTTTAGTTTTTGAATTTTAACAATTCCTTTTTAGACTTTTTAAGGTGATAATTTTTATATTTTATAGGAAAAAAAAGAAAAATCGGTTTATTCTCTTGCACAAAATCTTAAATGTCCTAAAAGAACATTTTTGTCGAGTCTGATGCCAGTTAAAATCATACGAAAGCATCTGAAATGTCCATTTTATTTTTCAAGCAATTTGAAGAAAAATACATCCTCATCATAACATGGGCTTTTAAATGCCTTTTTTTTTAGTTTAATTATTTTTATATTTTAAAAATTATTTTTGTTTTTAAAAATAAAAACTAGTCATTTTTGTCTGTATTTTTTAAAATCCAATTTTTTTAAGGCATTTTTATTTACATAAGTCAATTTGTTTTAAAAAGCAACATTCACTGTTTTATTTTTGTTTTTTAAAATAAAGGATGGGGAAAATAAAATATTTTCCTCTTTCGAATTTCTTAAAAATAACTCGTTAACTTACAAGAAAACTGATCTAAGTCAATTTGGTTATATTTTTTATGGTTTAGCCAACAAAATTATATTAAATACGCAAAAAAAAGTTGTTTTTTTTTTGTTTGTTTTGTTTTCTCTAATTTAAGAACTTGTTTTAAGAGAATCGTTTATTTTTGTGGTGGTCGTGGAGGATATTTCGTTTATAAAACATTTAAGTATCAAAGGATCAATCTTATTGAATTTTTGCAGAATACTTTAGTTGTCTGTGTCAGTAAGTAGATCGAGTTACTAATTAAGGTAGTCTATTGTTTTGGTCTATTCGCAGTACTTGTCAGTAAGAAGCAACAAACTCACATGCTGTTGCTGCTGCTATACAATAATTCCTGCGTAGGGGTTTAGGCTGAAAAAAAGAAAGGCCACTTGGCTTTAATATTGTCCAAAATAGACCGAAAAAAACGCCTTTCTTTGAGATTATTTATAAAAAAAAATGACGAAGCAAGTTTTATTCTTGTTAAACATCTACACGGGGTATAATGGTATTAGCAACAAAAGAAATGAAACGAGTCTTCAGTTACATTCGTAAGTCAAACTTATTTGAAGATAAATTTTTAATTTTTCCATATAGTGAAACATTTTCGCGACTTAAAGAAAACGAATATAGTTTTCTCGAATCGATTTTATTTATTTATTTCACGTTGTGTCCTACCTACACTCACACGCTGAATGACACCTATTTTGACTTTAAAAAAATAAACAAATGAAAATAGTAAATAAGATTTAAAAAAAAAAATAGATAAAATTTAAAAGTTGTGGAAAAGTAAGCTTTTGTTATTTTTTTTACCCCTGTCTCGTTTGGTTCAAAACTCGTAAAAAAAAAAATTGATGAAACACTCAGAAAATTAATGTGTAAAATTAAAAAGTTATTAATAATTATGGCACAGTATTTTTTTAATTTTACTTTACCAAATGTACTTGAATATACTTTAACTTTTCTCTTTTATTTTTTTTATTTTTTATTTTTTTCACGTGGGTTGTAGATTAATTTTTAACATAACCATTTTATGCAATTGCACATAAAATTGTGCTTTTTTTTTGTTTATTTTTTTCTCTTTTAAATATCCTTTAAATGGTGCACTGTAGATTTTTTTTGTGTGTGTGAAAATCACTCTAAAAAAACAACTGCAAATCAGGCCTGATCTTAATTGTCTTAAGTTTGTATTTTGTTGATATGTGCAATATTTTTTTAATTGTATGCCATGGCAATGTCATGGGTTGTAGAATAATCATTGAAAAAGGATTAAATGTTTTCTTTGGTAGGGTATATTCTACTAAAATCTAAATACACTAATTATGCTGACCAGCCAGTGAGCATCATGACTAGATTTGGAAATGAAGTAGTTTAAAAATATCCTTAACTCGCATTTAGGAATGGACTTCATTCGTTCCATGTTGATTGTTGAGACACTGTGATTTATATAACTAGAGAGTATGCATTCTTTGTTGATGATATCAATCTGTAATATATTTTAGATCCACTAAAAATAAATGAGTATACATGAAAAAATGCCACAAATTTAATAAAAACAAAGTTTTGTCAAAATCCTTGTTAGGAAAGAAAGACCAAAGGATAAAATAACATAAATAAATTTGAAATTTTGGTTAAAAATTGTTTTTCTTGCCTCAGCAGGTGACCATATAAATTTGTATGGGAAATTTTAGCATCTTTTTGCAGTCCAAAACACACTGATTTGGAAATTCTTGCAAGAATCAGACAATTTAAAATTTATATTGTTGGATTTTCATAACTTTCAGGACTGAAAAATGATATTTTTTAAACATTTATTAACCCCCCACCTATTTAATTTTATGAAATTTTGAGAAATTATTCTTTGCAGTGCTTATAATGTTTATATTAGTTATAAGGACTTGGAGAAAATTTTTTTTTTTTTTTACTCAAACATGACACCTACTTACAGAAAATCTGGTCTGAATTGTAAAATAAAAAATGCATTAAAATTAAGATCTTATTCAATTAGAAAAGCTTTCAATTGCTTTAATGTATAATAAGATATATTATACACACTGTCTTAAGAAAAACCTTTTTCAAGAATTTTTTCATTTTTTTTTTTATTTATAATAATTTATAAACTTTTAAATCTTAAAATTCTGTATTTATAGCAGTCAAATGATATTATTAAATTACAACTATTTACTAATCATAAATTAAAAAGCTCACTACAATTCAACCACCTCCCAATATTTAAAAAAAAATTTGAATTTATTTTATGTGTGTATAAGTGTGTTGATAATTGAGTTCACCCCAAGCAAGACAGTAAAGCCACTTAGGCACAAAGGTTTATGAGATTTGAAAGAATTAGAAAATCAAAACTTCATTTATTATGGAATGAGAACAGTAGATAGCAATTAATATTGCATTTAAATTTTTTGTGATTAAAGTTGACTGGAAAGCAGGGAGCTGGAAGGGAGTTCCATAAGTGAGAAAAGAAACTGTTAGTGTAGAACTCATCGTTACATGTGGCCAACTCAACTGTAAATTGGTGAGACCTTGTTGCCAGTTTAGTACTGCGCTTAAATTTATAAAGTCAAGGTACTTCAACAAAGAGGTAATCCAAACAGTTACTGTAATGAAAGAGAAAATCACCTACCTCGAAAAAGAGTTTGTGTTTTGTATGTGGTCTGCTGATGGAAAAATGAAGAAAATTGTCAACACAAACCTGCCGCTTTAAGTATCAGAAGACCTATGCTAATGTTCTTTCCTCCTTGACTTGCGCTGTAAATAAAAGCCATTGCTTGGATTAACGTGACAGAACGATTTTTGAGCTTGGTGGTCAAAAGTGCATTTACTCTGTTGCAAGTGGAAAGTTGGATTTTTTTACCCTGTTTTTGCTATTAATTTGCCTTTTGGACTTTTTGAACATGGATTTGTGATTGAGCTTATTGTTGGTACCCAAATTTTTTTTATCAGCCCCATTGGTTAATACTCTAACTGAAAATATTTATAGAAAAGGCCCAATCAACTTTACAGCAACAGGACTGAAGCTGAGATGCCAGATCAGAACCAATAATATTGCTGATTCTTCTTTGGATTTTATCAAGGATTTCTAGATATATAGCAGGAGCACCAGACCATATGCGGCAGAAATATTCAAAGCAAGGATGAATGGTAAACTTATAAATATGTAAGGTGGATTTAGGAGAGAAAAATTGTCTAGCATGACTCAATGAATCAAATTTCTAAGCAGCTGACCTAGCAATCTATTCAATATATATACTTTCCACTTCATGTCAGCCTGAGAAGATGCAATGAGTAACACACCTTAGGAGGTTAGCATCAGCCATGCTGATGGAAGGCAGAAAGGGCTCTCTCAGATGATTAGTAGAGAGTGGCTTAGTTTTGAAGACAGTCCAGACTTACTCTCAAGACAGGAGTAAATGGTTGTGTCATCAGCATAGATATCAAGTTGAGAAGTAATGTCATCGGGAAGGTTATTAATGAAAATTAAAAACAGTAGGATAGAACCTTTGGAGACACCTGCATTAATACAAAAGGATCTAGAAGAATAGCCATTAAGGATAACTTTCATTTCACAATTTGATAAAAACAGGATCAGTTCAAAAAATTGGCTGGATACACCATAACTTTTCAACGTGTGAAGAAGACCTTTATGCCAAATTCTGTCAATCTTTGGAGATTTATGAAGTAATGGCATGAGTTTCATCATTCTTATCTAGAGCTTGAGAGACTCTATCCACAATTATTGTCAGTACATCAGCAGTGGACCTAGAAAAATGAAAGTTATATTGCTTGTCTGAAAGAAGTCTTTAAACCAATTTAGCATTGATTAGGGCCTCCCAAAAAGAGATAGAATTTAATAGGCCAATAGTTGGAAGGGTAGGGCGGTTCACTGAGTTCTAAAAAAAAAACTGGAAGAACAGATGAGGAGCTTAAGGAGAGTTTACAGGTGAAACATTTGGCTTTATCAGTGGAAAATGTTAACATCTCAA